GGGTTAACAGGCGTAAAGGCATTTGCTGCTTCTTTCTCGCTTCTGTCTCGCTCTCGCTCTCTCTCTACCAAAGACAGAGAGAGAAGAGCAGAGAGAGAGGGGGAGGGAGAGAGGAGAAAGAAAGAGAGAGAGAGGGGGGAAAGAGAGGCAGCAAGCCAGAGAGAGAGAGAGAGAGAGAGAGAGAGAGAGAGAGAGAGAGAGAGAGAGAGAGAGAGAGAGAGAGAGAGAGAGAGAGAGAGAGAGAGAGAGAGAGAGAGAGAGAGAGAGAGAGAGAGAGAGAGAGAGAGAGAGAGAGGGGGGGAGGAGAGAGGAGAAATAAAGAGAGAGAGGGGGGGGGGGTAAGAGAGGCAGCAAGCCAAAGAAAAGGAGAGAGAGAGAGAGAGAGAGAGAGAGAGAGAGAGAGAGAGAGTAACCCCCGCTCACCTTGCACCCAAACTCGGCCATCTCGTCCTCGAAACTCCAGTCGTGGTTTATGCCGAAGGAGAAGACGACGCACCGACCCGGGATGACGTCGAACCTGCCATCGAGACAAACGTTTTTCGAGGACCCCTTCTTGCCCCTGGGAGGTCCTCCGAACGTCGTCTGGCCGGTTGACAACCGAAAAGTGAGGAGAGACAGATAGTCTTAGGCAAAGGTTGATCAATTTTAGGGTTAATGGTGGATATGATGAAGAGGGAAATGCAGATTACGGCCCTTAGATGTCTATGGGTCATAATCAAGTGTCTCGACTCTTTAATGATTGTATAACTTCCATAATCAAAAGTCTCCTCTGTTTAACAAAATAGGTTATTGGCGAATATTTGAAATATATAAATATATCTTATGGTGCGCAAAATAAATAATTAATAACAACTGACTAGTGTGACCGACTGTTAACTGTCGTAAAGCATATCTACTGGCCTGTTTTCAACTTTCAACATAATAGAACGTCACAAATCCAAGTCAGGTGTGTTTGTTAAATTCCTTTTGGCCAGGTAGTTGCCAGGACCGTGAGTGTGTGTGTGGGTTTGTGGTTGGGGGGGGGGTACGTGTGGGTGTGCATGAGCGTGTGCGTGTGCATGCATATTTAAACTCAACTCGTACCACATTGTCACAAGGTATCTCGACCGTCGTCAGGAAATTACGAAACTGTTCTCCACTTCGAAGCGCTGGTATCGGGCAAAACACGTGACTGTCGTCGCTCTTCTCTGCAATATATACATGAAGAATGAACTAAACTGATAAATAAATGAATAGACAAAAATAATAGATAAATGATAAAAAATAGTTTTAAAGAAAGCTGACAGAATGTACAAGATTCTGGTACACGACTTTATTTCTATTTTCATTTTCATTTTCTTTCAATTCTTTGATTTTAAAACACCAAAAAAGAAAATACACGACATCATTTTTATTTTATTTTATTTTCCTTTTTGACTATAGCTGCTGTGTTATCTTTAAATAGCTTTAAATGTGTATTATCTTCAGATAAAAAATTGATGTCTCAAAAACTTACCTTCAGCCTTTGCAGTGAAGTCCATATCACTGTGTTCACATTGGCTAATTAAAGAAAAGGGATACTAGATATAAAAAGATAATGATAATTTGATAATGTGAATAATGATAATGTTATTAATGACATCAACGATGATAAAGAATATCATAAGAGATAGTGATCTTGATGATGATGGGGAGGGAAAAATTATAATGATCATAGTAATAACAATAATGATAATGATAATAATAATTGTAATATTAAGGTAGTCATACAAAATGATGATACTGATAATGATGATAATAAGAATAAGAATGGTAATGACAATAAAAGTAATGGCAGTAATAATAACAATAATAATAATGATAATAGTAATAAAAATTTATGTAATGATGATGATTATGGTAATAATAATAATAACGGTGGTAATGATGATGACGATGACGGAATAATGGTATGCTAATAATGAAATTGCTTTGCAAAATGCTCTCTTTTACCGTCTGTCTTTTATCTCTAATGATAATTACGAAATAAACGTTAAGCCTGATTTACATTACTTGTAGTTTAGTCATCGGGTGAGATGCGTCGACTAAAGAACAGTTTATTTTGAAGTTGGGCTCATTTATTTTTATTAATTCAACAGCTGGTTAATTAGTAAGATAGTAAGAATCATTTTCATCATGAACGGTGTTAACGATAATGATAAAATCGATCATGATAATAAGAATGCCGTTATGAATATTAATGACAGGAAAACGATTCTTAAAAATTCTCATAGTGAAATGATGTGTAATACTAAAACCCTGTTCAGACGAGCGACTTTAGTGGCGCGACTGCTAGAAACGTAACTGCCAGGTCAATGGAAGTGAATAGGAGCGTACACACGTGGGTTGTGGCTGGCCTGTGGCGTGACTCGAGATCTTCCTCACAGTCGCCCAACTGTTCAGCCACTCTAGGTACATGTGTTGTTATGCGGCCGCACGCACACGACGACGAAGCGCGACTCATTGGCTGGAGTGGGTGGGATTCGACCAATGAGAGAGCATCACGTGGAGCGAGGCAGATAGACAGGCGACATTAGCTTCCCTTTTCCCCCAGCCAAGATTGGGGAGAGACAAGTCGTGCCACTGTAAGCACCGTGTGAGAACATTCACTCAGTTGTCGCGCTTCTAGCATTCGGGCCACTAAAATCACTCGTCTGAACAGGGCCTAACAATCAATTAAATTACATATCAATAGCATTATGTGGCACCTAAAGAATATAATAAACAAATGACAGAACATCATCATAATATCAATAAAATCAAACAGCATATATTACCAACAAAAAGGCAACGATGGTATTGATAAGCTTAGTAATAAGTAGAAAATTGCGGGTTAAAACGGCCAGAAATTCAACACGGCCTCGTTTATAAATATATATATATATATATATATATATATATATATATATATATATATATATATATATATTATATATATGATCATTACAGCTAATTATGTGAACATGTGCCTTGAGGAGGGAGGGCGGGGTATCCCACTGAGAAACGTGTCTGGAATGATTTCTCTCTCTCTCTCTCTCTCTCTCTCTCTCTCTCTCTCTCTCTCTCTCTCTCTCTCTCTCTCTCTCTCTCTCTCTCTCTCTCTCTCTCTCTCTCTCTCTCTCTCTCGATTTTCACTGATTTTCAATATTCTACTTTTGAGGGACTTCCAGTATTTCAAGTTTTGATTGTGGTTGTTGATTAATAACGATCATAGCCCTATAGCTGAATTAAGAATATCCACCTATATATGTCTGTTCATCTGTCTATCAATTCTTATATCTATCTACCTATCCATCTATCAATTCTTATATCTACCTATCCATCTGTCTATCAATTCTTATATCTATCTACCTATCTATCCTTATATCTACCTATCATCTGTCTATCAATTCTTATATCTATCTACCTATCCTACTGTCTATTTATCTATCTGTCCCTCTATTTGTCTATTTACCTATCAATCGGTTTATGTCTTTTTTCTCTATATCTATCTATATATCTATCTACATAATTATCAATACATCATTTATCTGCCTATCCATCTATCTATCTACCTGCCTATCTGTTTATCCATCTACCCATCTATCTATCTACCTGCCTATCTGTTTATCCATCTACCCATCTATCTATCTACCTATTTATCTATATGTCAGCTAATTTCATTTCATTCACCTAAAACTATCTGAATAAAAAAAGTAATAATAAATGAGATATATTCAACGGCCCTTCCTTAACACCCATCTTGTTTATCTTGAAAATAGTGTTATAAAAGAAGTTGTCCACGAATTAAACAGGTTTTTCAAGATTATTATTTGGTTATAAAACCGGTTTGACATGCATGTGATTTCATTAATCAAACTTGTTTCATGGTAATAATTTGGTTATTAAACGGGATGTGCATAAAAATTATTTGATAATTGACCGGCTGGTGATTATCATTTTAAGACGGTTTGGTAATTAGCCTGGCGGAAATTAGGTCATTAAGACAGATTATGTTCACATACAGTCATTCGTAAATTCTCAGCCTAAAATATCAAATATTATATAGATTATCGATATGTAGTGGGACTATCCGCCCACTTTGTCCTACCACGGTACCCCCCCCCCTTTTGGTATGACAAGTCCATGGCACGAGTCGGATTCAATGAACCCATTGGAAAATGGGCACCGAGAACTACTGTCAGCATTGTTTTATTTTCCTTGTATATACCCCATTTTTATCATATGTATTTGTCTTCGTGATGGAGATGCGGGGTGCCGCCCGTAAGCATTGTGTGCAACGTACGTGGGCTTAGCCACGTACGTGCTAATAAAATTACCACTCCTATGCTCAGTTTAAGTCGAAAAATTGTATGGCGTCTGCTAGTGACGTCATACCAGTGGCTTGTCATGCCGTCATTAGTGACGTCATGAGCCGTGACTGCAGCCACTCACGAGTCTCCACGAGAGGTAGACAATACCCCTGTAGAGGGCGCTGATACCCCCTGGTACTTTTGGGTAGTACCATTACCGGGAGATCTGGTCTCGCCTCCTTCCTGTTCGGACCCCGCTGCTACACGTAAGGTCACGGCCATCATTATGTATTTTACAGGGAAATCACAATGATTTATTTTATACCTTAGTGACTGGTGCAAGAAGGGTAAACTTGTAAGCTAGGGTCTAAGACGAAAATAAACAAACAAACAAGCAGCGTATCGTTCATGATTTCCCCCAGCTAATTAGTGATGACAAAGTTCAGCGTAAAGTATTGCTGGATATGAACTATTGATATTCTGAAATGTGCAAATATACATGAGAATTTATAGTTAATTTACATGGCATTAAATGAACTTGTTTCCTGACGTATGCGAGTGCCGTGACCTGGACTCCCCCGCTCATCCGCTTTGGCCGCTACCACTACATGTCCGATGTACGACGTGGGGTGGCCAGGTGGTACTCGCATGTGGTGATTGAAGGTAAAAAGGAAGGTGAACAGATCTCCGAGGGACACTGGCCTAGAATTGTCCCGGTATTGTACAAGAAGTAGCAGTACTGCGTTACTGTTACCTTACAGGATTTTGGTGGCTAGCGGCGGTATGTGATAATTGGCTGGTTTTCATATTGTTTCGTGTATTATACTAGTCACATACGTTCCCCATACGCCTAGAGTCGTAGTTTTTCAGAATTTTACGTTTCCTTTGTATTTTTACGTACTTTTAAGATCTCGAGTTTTAGGAAAGATCGTTTTTTTTTCAAACCTGTTTTACCTAAGTTTTACATGTAATTTTATTTTGATAATTTTATATAGTCGTTTGCTTTTACTTGTTATCATTTTAAACGAATTCTTTAGGCTGATGACTAGTATAATACCATCTTGATGCAATGATGTAATAGTGAACACGTGGTACATTATAACTTTGGTTAACCCTAGTATGTGAAAAGCTGACCTGCCATTGATATATATTTATTCATGTTCTTAAGTCATCCATTTTTATTTTTGTATGTATTGTGAGATCTCGGATACTGCTCTCCCTTGTACCCGTAGCTTGTGATGTGCTGCTGTCTACTACGTAATACTGTGATACTGTGGTGTTGAAGATCAGCCCTGCCTTTCACCTGGTTCTTGCGTGAACTGTGGCCGAAGCGACAATGAGCGACAGTGTATATGGTAAAGTATGATTAGTGGGTGTTAGCGGCGTGAATACGTATTTGCTTTTTCTTGTAGTGAATGAAAGTATTATGGTGAATGATGCCCTGCCTCTGTGTAGCATATGGTGTTATGGTGTTGTAATGTGCATATTGTTGTGTTCAGTGGTGACACCGTCATAATCGGTGCTGTGTGTTAAAGTGCAGTGACAAGTGATGCGTAAAGTGATATGTATAGTGATGTACGAGTGTGAAGTGTAATTCGTTTCATATTCTCATGTATATTTATGTCGTATGTCTTCCACAGTACCGGGTGTTACGTTATTAGATGACTTGGTCTCTTGTGGCTGTGCTGACTTGTTGAGCGAAGATTCTCGGGGAACAGTAAGTACTTGTAACCGCGCTCAGAGAAGGTCTCTTGTTCGTATTTCTAAGAGGCTGATGGCTAGGACGAGGGCAGGCCAGAAAAGCGGTCAGAAGGGCAGTCGCGCCAATACTCCAGTTGAGCTCAGTGTCGCTATTATGCCGGTCCATGATGTGCAGGGAAGCCACGTGGCTCCCGATGGTGCGTCCATGCAGGAGGGTGATGACAGTGCCCCTCTCCAGGGTGCTGCCCCATTGGAATTAGGAGCCCTTCAGGCTCAATTAGAGGCTGCCTTACATAGGATAGATACCTTAGAAGGACAGAACCGGCACCTGCGAGAAGAGATGCGGCAATTACGGACTCCGCATGAGCCTCGCTCTGGAGCATCCACTCCCGAACTTTCTCGGGGGAGCGTCCCACCTCCACAGTTAGCTAGTGGGCCTTCGGGAAGGCCTGACGCCCGCGAGTCATGCCTCCCCAGGCCACAGCCTCAGGCACGTCATGCATGCTGTCATTCTGTAGGGCAATTACC